CAGTCATTTTTTTTTCTCTTCCTATGTCCGACAGTCACTCTTTTTTAAGCTTAATTGTCGTTTTAGTGCTCTTACAATAAAGCCTTTTCCTTTTGGTGTCCCTGTCTCAAAACCATTTTCAAGTGAACAACCAGGTAAATATAATTATATAAACGAATCTCAAAAATCTGAGAACCAGAAATAAAAGTAAAACCTTTTTCTTAATCTCGAGTCCTATGCTCTACCACTGAGCTATTTGAATGCATGATGAGCCATACTACTAAGATAATTTAAAAAATATCAATCTATTTTATCGTGTCAAGCTACTAATTCAGAGATGTAGATAAAAACAACTAGTAATTTTTAAAAAATCCATATCTAATTCAATATACTGTTGTTAAAGAACCATTTCAATCGATCTCGTCTAAAAAAATGTTCAGCTGCTTTTTAAATGGTACCAACAAACATATTCTTCCTTCACTTTTTCGTGTTTTTTTTTTCCAGATAATGCCGGCTACACATTGTCGCATGAAAGATAAAACTGGAAATGTAATTTTAAATATTTATTCATGCATTGTCAATGAAAGCTTTTTTATCTTTTGTTTTCACAATCAGGTAAATTATTCATCATTGCTAAAAATATATATACAAATTAAAAAGTAATAAATGAATTAGTCAAAAACAAAAAAATTAACTGCCTTTTTTATTATTTTATTTTTTACGAATTGTGATTTTTTTTTTAATTAATTTTAAATTAATAAAATAAATAGAGGAATTTAAAACCGCAATTTTGAAAAATGAATCTCTAATTTGAACGTTTTTAATTTTAATTTTAACAAAAATGGATTTTTGGCCTTTAACTTAGTCATTCTTTGTTCAGTTCTGCAAATTTCGTCGGGCAAAAAATCGTTTCCTCGTGACAAGACAGAATGAATGAATTCTTTATTTTATTAGCATTTCTTTGTTTCAGTTTTTTAACGGACGAATAATGAACAGATTTTTTTTTTCTCAGTCAAACTGAAATCTTACAATTTTTATATTCTCCCATCTAAAGCAAAATATACAATTTTTTTTATGGATGATGACACGTGTTTTCTCTTCAAATCGATTTGATGATTCGAAATCGATCGAATATAAATCAGTACAATTTGGTCAAAATTAGTAATGAATGAAGGAAGATTGAAGAAAGAGAAAATAAATTCGGGATTATTATTTTATTATTTTTATATATCAGTTAAAAAAATCATTACCAATTAACAAAAGACAAAATGATTTATTTATACTTTTATGAAAATAATCATTAAAAAAATTATTGAGAGACCGGTTTGTTTTTATTTTCAATCATTTTTATTTTTTATGGCGATTATTCGATACTTTTTTTTTTACTTTGGTTACATGGCTTGTAAATATCTTTTGGGAAGAATGATTTCGGAAATATGTTTTTAAAATCAGCTAAAACAATAAAATTCATTTACCATGAATTTATTTGGAATGAAAAAAAATTCAATAACAAACGCATGTTAACTTATTTTATCACGAAGCACGTTGTCTCGAACAAGGTTCTTGATTTTGTTTTGGCATGAATATATATTTACACGCCAATAAAAACCATATTCTTTACAAAGAAAGAATCTTATTCTTATGGTTTATGAAAAGATAGATAATTTAAATAAATTCTTACTTAATCCTGTCGAAAATTTAAAAATCAAACTGGCTACCATACACGCGAGAATATACTGTAAATAAAACCCATCCACTAACTAAAAACAAGAAAATTCGAACCTCAACAACGTTTAGAAAAGAAAAATACTTTATTATTCCATGGCAACATTATTCACACTTTCTTTAGGGTCCATCGTTAGGTCCGGGTAGGTGAGTCTCGTTATTTGTTGTGTGATCAAGCTGTATTGTTGTTACACAGAATTTTTTTGGTAATCTTGTTGGTTGGCTAGTGAGTTCGATTCTCACTGGGTATCCCATACGCGTGGCCTTAAAAGCTAAGCTTATTATTATTATTATTATTATTATTGGCACTTCGACGTAATGGTTAGCAAACTTGTCTCGCTAGGTCAATGCAATGCAACTGAATTCATTAAAGTTCGATCCTCATTAAAACACTCCATACTTGCGGCCTTGTGCCACATCTAAGCAACACTTTTTAAATCACTACACACAAACTTTCTTGTTAGAGTAAAAACACGCTGCCCTAAGCTCTAAAAGTTGTTTTTACCACTGGTTAGTGAGGCTCGTCTAAATTACGTTAAAAAAAAGGTGCTCCTTTTAAAAATCAATTTCAACTCAAGAATAACTCCGCTCTAGGGATAAAAATAAATTAAAACATTTTTAAAACACTGTCACACGACAATTATTATTATTATTTTTTTTTCTTCAAAACAGTAAATAAACATGTCACAGGGGTATTACAGATTTTTGTTACTTCAATCCACTTTTCTGTTTTAGTATGGCTTTTCAAATGCCTTGAAAAATAAATGATCATACACTCGACATCTTGTGGGGATCAGATACCAATTTCAAATACCGGGTGGAAATTAACACAAGAATATCTCGGCTCCCCAAACATCTTCTCTTACTCTTTCTTTTGCCATTGCTAATTTAATTTTCAATATCGATTGTTAATTCACTCAGCGCTTTTCATAAGTCATTCTCCTACACTACATTGTCTGGACTTTATTATATTTTTTTTCATTTAATTCAAAAGAAAAAACGATCCCTTATCTTAAAAAAATTTTTTAAACTAAACATCTTTAAAAATTATTTTTTATGATTTTTTTGTCCTTATTTGCAAAGAAAGATTAGTTAAGTAAGCTTGCTTTTTTAAATGTTTTTCCAATAGTTCATTTCACTTCACACCAAAAGGTAATCCTAACTAATGAAAAGTACATATTACCTGCTGTTTGCTTGAATAATAAAGAAAATAAAAACAACTTTTCATTCAATGTTCAATATTTTGCTTGCTTTTAGTCGTGTGTGTGTGTGTGTGTGTTCGCTCGAATACTAAACGACTTTTTGTTAGATAAAATTTCTCTTTTGCTCAAAAACTCCACATTTTTCTGTGTGCAGGTTTTGTTTTGTATTTTCGTCGATATTTAAAAGTCCGTGTACATTTCTCAAAATCATCTAAAATAATTTTTTTTTAAAGTTTTAGAAAAAAAAAAGAGGGACGTGTGAATGTTGTTTGCGTTTTTAAACTCACATGGACGGAATCAAAAATCTCCAAATGATCATCATACTACTACAGAATGATATGCCAAACGAACTACACGTAACCAAAAGTATTTTTTGTTCTGGCCCTGGGGCATCATGCTTTTTATTTTATGTTTGCGACATCACATAATTACACGTTTCAGATATGCTTGATTTTGTGTTTGTTTTTTTAATGAAAATAATTTAAAAATTGAAACAAAATATGCCTAGTAGTAGTAGTAATACTAAAAAATACATCACATATAGCTTCCCTCTTTATTTCAACCAAAAGTAAACCATTGTATACCTCGTCCTTAAGTATTGAATTCTGCTATTCCATTTACATTACTAATTAAGTGGGTGTCATTCTTTTTATCTTTATTAAATTAAAAAGCAGTGAAAATTCCCACAGCAAGTAATAACTGGTTCACGTATTGTCCGAAATGAAATCTGACAAGTCGTGTCTAAGTCCTGCCCGAATGTCTGAGTGATTCGTGTAAAAAAAAAAAAAAAAAAAATGAACCTTAATCGACCCCAGAAATTTTTTTTAGTCATTTTCCTACACCCAACAAGATATTTAATTTCTTTTCTCTTTTTTAAATTGTACTTTTATTTATTTATTTATCTTTTTTTTTATTTACGGATAATTTTGTTTTTAAAAACTGAACTCAGAAGGAAAGACAAGAGAAAGTGTTGTCAGCTGATGACAATATGGGAGTGAAAAGAAAGGGGTTTAGCGGGGATTTACATGCCGTAGAGCTCTAGTGTCACAGACCTTTGAATTTGATATTGGTTCAAGTACCACTAGGCGCTCCGCTAACGCAGCCTTGAACCAAATGATAAATGAAATCAGAAACGAACGAAAAGATATGGAAAAAAATTAAACTTAAATTAACTAGTACTCACTGTTGATAAAAAAAAAACAAATTAAACAATTGATGAAACGAGTAAAGAAAAAAAAAAAAGGAAGCGAAACAAAGAGACATGAAAATTAGAAAAAAAAAACAACTCGTTTAAAGAAATAAACAGATTCAAACTATATAATTTGAAAATACATAAATAAATCTAGAGAAGAAAGAGAAAAAGAAAGTAACGGTGATTGGCCGACAGAACAAAAAAAAGCAAGTCCAAGCATTAAGGAGAGAGAAAATAGCGAAACAAAGAAAAATGAATAAAAATAAAAGTTAAGATGACAGATTAAGACTGAATTTTTTTTTTATTTTTTAAGTGGAGATTAGATGAAAGAAAGAAAGGGGAATGGTAGAAAACTACATGGTATACAGAGAAGCCGGTTCATATGGCAAAAAAAGAAAAGAAAAGGAAGAAAAAGAAGAGATGTAAATGAAACAACCAATCGGAATGAAGCAGCTCGTGTCATGGTCTTCTTGGAGTAGCTACCAACTCCTCCGTCTTCCCTAAGTCGATCTTCTCCCACCGTTTGTCTCTCTTTCTCTTTCCCGGTCTCTCCACATTTTTACAGCAACTACAATCCTAATACATAACAGTCGCCGACCAACACGGAGTGAGACGGGCACTTCTTTCAGGCCTTACAGTCGGTTGTCTTATCTCTTATTTTGCGATATACAAAAAGTAGCAACCATTATCAGATCGATCTCCTAGAAGTGTGAGACTAATTTTTTATTACACCTGTCTCTCCTTCTAGCGAGAAGCCACTAGGAGTTTAATAATTAATTATATATATCAAAAGATCACAAAAAAAGATCGTGTGTATTTATAATCAAACAAAAAATCATTTTAAGTGTACAAAACAAACAAAAAAAAGTTGATTTTTTTTTTCAGGAAATAATACTACAGAGATGTCGGAAAACGGAATTAACGGTCATAGAGCCCATTCCGTCGGGCTGCAATGGAAAGTTGGCTTGATCAACTCTGAACAGAAATACTTGACCGCCGAAACATTTGGCTTTAAGATCAATGCTTCAGGCACTGGTCTAAAAAAGAAACAAGCATGGACATTGGAACAAGATTCTAAGGAAGAGGTGGTTTACATCCGAAGCCATCTGGGTCGTTACCTGGCCGCTGATAAATACGGTAATGTGAGCGGCGATAGCGAAGAACCCGGCCAGGACGAAAAATTTGCTATCGAATACAGTGCGAAAGGTCAGTGGGCACTGCGGAATGTGGCTCACGGCTTTTACGTCGGAGGTAGTGGCGATAATATTGTGGGACAGGCTAAACAGCCTTCAACTACCGAATGGTGGACCTTACAATTGGCCATCCACCCTCAAGTCAACTTGAAAAACGTAAATCGCAAGCGGTACGCGCGACTGGCCGGTGAAGAAGGCGAGATCCAATTTACTGAGGTAATTCCTTGGGGTCAGGACTCGCTTATCATCCTCAAATTTGTCGATGGCAAGTACGCGTTGGTCACCTGTGATAATCGTTATTTGCACAGGGATGGCACGCTGGTCAACGAAATGAGCCAGGACACACAGTTCACGGTGGAACTCAAGTCTGGTCAAAGTTCTGGTCTTGCCCTTAAGGATATCGAGGGTCGCTACCTGACCGCTGTTGGTCCCAAAGCTGTGATGAAGGCTAGAAATAAAACCATCACCAAAGATGAATTATTCACAATTGAAGACAGTCATCCTCAGGTTACTTTTACCTCCCATAATGGAAAGTTGGTCTCTATTAAACAAGGTGAGTGACAGTTCCAAACGAATAAGTTTAGCTACCAATAATCAATAATGGGACCAGGATTTTAGTAGAAATGAAAAATGAAAGTTATTGAAAGTCTTAGTGTAAAAATTAACTTACTTTAAAATTACCTTAGCGTTTAATTCTGGCAATGTTTTAGTTTTACATTAGCTAGGTTTTCTGTCCCTTAATTTTTTTTTTTTAATAAATCGCCATTTTTGCCGCATAACTGTGTAGTGCATGCTTTGGTTCTGTTTTTATTTTATTTATTTCAAGAAAACAGCGCACAATATAAATCATTATTTTATTTTATTTTTTTTTAATAAAGAAAGGTTTACTTTAAAAAAAACTTTACTTTTTAGCAGCTTTTAGCTCGTTTCCATAAATTAAAAATTGAAATGTTATTGTTATATCTGCTATGTGACATGAAGTGTTTATTCTGTTTTTGTGTGACAAGGATTTTTAATGTTGTCTTACTGTTACATGGGTGCAGCACAATGCCAAGTAAAAACCGCTCAACTCTTGCAGTAGTAACTTCCAACAACTACTTTTTTTTCTCTCTTTCCGTTGCCGCCGCTTTAAGATCCCCACGTTTTTACCAAAAACAGTTTTCTCTGCGGCTGCCTACCCACTTGAACAATTACTACCTTTTTGAGCATATAGGACTCTCATTTTTTGTGATATATATATATATATATATATATATATATATATATATATATATATATACACACACACACACACAAATACGTACCACTTCTGTATTTATTTATCTTAACCCCGCCCAACACTTCTAAGATATTATTTCTCATTAAATAATGTTGTGGCTTGTTGTCAGGGGTTTCCTGAAACATAGAGAAACGAAGATATCGTAATTGATATCCATATTTTGGCGTTAAGGATTCGTTTCTCACTCTAGTCTAGTCAAAATTGGATGTTAGTGCTCAATTTGAAACTTACCGATTGATTTTTATTGTTAAAGTTGTTCTGAGAATAATTTTTAACTCCATATAAAATCCTCAATTGTGATTTTGGTAATAGTTTACTTTAGTTTTTCATTGTGGGGGAGATAGGCTAATAAATAGCTTTTTAGCCTTTCTAATTTACATATCTATAAATAACTAATAAGATAGAGCAAGTACGCGTGATGGTGGGGGGTATGATCCCCTCTCCCTTGATATCGATAGTGTATTAGTATTACCGTTCAAACTGGTTAGTATTGCCCTTTAGGAATTTTGGGAAGCGAACGATCTTACTTACTCGTCCCCGCTTTTGTAACTCCTTAAATTCACTTATTCATTTTTTTTTTTTTTATGCTTTTTTTTTTTTCATCTCATTTGAAATATTTGCTTTCCTTCACTCCCTATTTTTCCCTTGACAATGAATGAAGCCCGCTGCACTGCTGCTACCAATCCAGCCTTCTCTTGATTACCCTTTCTCTCGTATTTCTTGCCCTAGACCTTGGAAATTCATTTTAACCACTACTACCACGACTTCAACACCGGCTCTGTATCTGTCGCGACTGCCGCTTTCTTTGTGTTAAAGATTAATTTCTCCATTAAAAAGCAAGACTTTTAATTAAAACTACTTACCTGAAAATGATTAAAAATCAAAATCTTTTAATTGCGATTTATTTTACTTGAAATGACGAATTTGAAATAAATATCCATATGTTTCTCGAGATTGTTACCTTTTTATTTTTAAGAAATTCCTTTGTCTGTAAAAATTGCTTATTTGCAATTTCCCTTTTTTTTTCTGTAAATATACCTTTTTTTTTTTTTTTTTTTTTTACAAATCTACAACGGTATTTAAAGATAGCCAAATATTCGTTAAAATATAACATTACTATCAAATAGCATTTGAATTTTCTTCTAGAAATGGACTGATTATCATAAATGTCTGACTCTTTTTCTTGAATGGATCGGCTGGGATGAAGAAGCAAAAAGATGATGTAAAGAATCAAAAACTCAAATTATTAATCATTATCATAATTTTTATAACTATTTCTTTATTTCAAGAGAAACCCTTAAGATCGACTTGTCTAAAAATCTAAAACTTTTTCTTTAAAAATTAATTTTTTTTTTTTTTTTTTTTTTTTTTTTTTTTTTAGTTTTCTCATCATGCCATGCTTATCTTTTTATTTTATATTTTTCTTTCTTTCCTTAAGTTTGACGTCACCATTTTTCTTTTGAATTTATTCAAAATAGAAAATCCCTTTTTAACACACATGATTAATTACACTAAAAGAAATTACCTTTATTTTTCATTACTGTGTGTGTATTCGCACCGGCTATGTGTTCCGTTTTTACAACTTGAAGTGTCTTCTAAAGAAAGCTCATTATTAGTTGTACACATTTAGAAAAAGAAGCTGCTTCGTTGTGTCAATGACATCAGTCTCGAATTAGGAGAAAGAGTTTCTTAAATATTCATTGGCACCATACTAGGAACTTGAAGGTTCTGTAAAACACTAATTCTCATTTCGGCTATTAGATCAGAAAACCGTTTATTTTTCTTTTCTTTCCTACGAATAGATTTTTTCCCTTGTTACCCTGTTTTTCGCCAGAATACAACGTTTTAAAATTTAAAGCATTTTATTTTATTTCGTTTGAATAAATGACAAAATAAAAGTAAAGCTACTAAAAATTAGAATAGCAAAAAATAAATAAATAAAAAAGTTAGAATAAAAACCTCTTTTTAGTTCATACTAAGGAAAAAGATTAAATTAATTCATTTTCCTATGCCCCATGGAAATCTTTAAAATGTTAATATAAAACAATATTGCTTGTCTTTTGATTGCTATAAAAAAAAAGAAAAAAATAGTACAACTGAACCTTTGGTCCTTTTTCTTTTATACTGGGTTATAGTCACATGACCACAGTCGGAACATTCTAAGGATGAACAGGAGAAGGCCCTATGTTCGAAAAATACCATTTCCATCAAATACTATGAAAATGGCATAATCTCGGATGAATGCAATCAAAGCTTCTATCTAAAATAAATAAATAAATAAATAAATAAATATTACCAAATTTATAATTGCATTTTCAATTTTCTGAAATTGCGTAAAGAATCGGGTTTTCATTCGCAGTTGAAATCTACTTTCTGTGGAAAAAAAGTATTTATAATAAATTAAAATTTGAAACAGTAAAAATAGCAGTCAGAAAAATATGTAAAATAATTGTAAATGAAATGATAATAAAGAATAAAGATTGATGTGACGCTCGCTGCTGCTCTTCCCATCTTTCTCTTAAATTGCTTCCCCGATGGAGGAGGAGGCGGACGCGGTGGCAAAGAATTCCTCTCTTGTCTAGTCACTAAAGTGACTTAGTCAGCTCACAAAAAGAAACCATCTTAGGTATGACTTGACCCATATGTCATCGTGTCAAAAATCGTATATTCTTTTTTTAGCACAAAAAAAGGAAGGAATATGCTTCATTCTTCACTGCTTTCGCCTTTAATCCTTCTTCTAGCCCCCTCCCCCGCTACCCAGCAATCAGGTAGCTTTCTCGCAGTCAGACTCTCAACAACCCTTGTCTTTAAATGATAAGTCTCCTCCATCATTTTCCCAGACCTCATTTCCTGTCAGCCTTGACTTTGATTTCTTTCTCTCCCACCCACCCTCAATCCTGAGTATTGTCAACTCTTCCCAGTCTGGCTTTTTGGAGAGAACCTCTGTCACATCGACCTTGTAAACCAATGAGCTGAGACACATTCTAGAACAAGAGAATAGCGAGAAGAGGAACAAAAAGATGTTAATTTTATTATTAATCAGTACTCTCTCTCTCTCTCTCTCTCTCTCTCTCTCTCTCTCTCTCTCTCTCTCTCTCAATCCAGTGAGACTCTTTTGTTACAGACTTACTCTTCAGATATAACTACTAATATATTTGCCATTTTTATTTTGAACATTACAATTCCTTAATATAAAAATTATAAAAGCTTTTTTTTGTTTTTAAATCATTACTGTTATTTGCCATTTCTTTCTTTTTTTTGTGTGTGTGTTTTTCTTTAAATTCCTTAGAAATGGAGAAATCAGATGAATTATTTCCAATCTTTATTAGTGGTTTGGGGGTCAGTCTGACATGATAAAAAAAAAGCAAACTTTAATGCACAAATATAAAACGTTTTGCTCTAAACTTAAATTTCTTTCTTCAAAGATTTGTAAACAAAAAATTTGTGATGTCACCAATTGTCTGATCATCTACTGATTTGTTTAGATTTTTCCTCATCTTGGTTGTTTTTGTCAGAATGTTTCATCTGAAACACTAACCAAGATGAGGACACTAGTATAAAAAAATAATTCTGTAATAATGGCACAAGTCAGACTGAAACTTTAGTTTTAAGATGCCAGCTTCTTTCCAAAGTTATTAGCTTAAATTACTTTAATGGATTCAACATTTAAGCCAACCTGCTGTGATTATTAATGTCAATTTTTATTGACCAATCATAAAACACAGTCTCTTCCAGTAAAAGCAATGAACTACTAAAAATACTATTTCTTTTTTTTGTTTTGTTTTTTGATGGAGAGAGGATTTTAGCTTCACTTGACCTCTGTAGTCCTCATAACCTCTGAAGTGATCACCTGGCAGTTATGTGACAATGTTTGTCAAACTCGAAAGAGGGTTCTTAAATAAAAAAAAAAAAAAAAAAATTGTCTCTAGGTTGTATGCATGTCTCTTAAATATTACAGATACTCATAGCGGGTAGGGGTAAAAAAGAATTGCTTTAGTTTATAGATCATAGGGTTTTAAGCAAAACAGTTCATACACCTTAAAGCACTGCAATTATGACTGAATAGTAAGTTTTCTCCTCACTGGGTGCCCTATACTTTGAGCCACTTCTAAGCTATGCTTAGAAAATCTCCATATTCCTTAAAGCACTGTTCTAATTATCCTCTCATATTAATGAATTATTCCTCATTGGGGGTTCCTGTTTGACTGCAGAATAAAGGACTCCTTTTAATAAGCATTAACCTTTTTAAGCTTTTATTGTCATTTGACTATTTT